CGCAGAGCTTCGCCAGCTCCACTTGTGCTGCCGCCTCATCATCGAGATTTCTGAAGCGGGCCTTGAAGGCGGCGGCAAAGGCCACTTCGTTCCTGAATGGGGTCGTGGCCCCTTGTACTCCTATCTGCACCGACACAAGCTGGGCAAAGTAGGGAGTGGCCCAGGCACGGGCATCTCCATCGAGCAGGCTTAGTGCGACCTGCACCTTAAGCTCAATGGTGGTCAATGACGTGTTAACCAACCAGTAGATGCGCAGCTGCGACAGGAACCGGTTGCACTCGATGATGGTTTTGCCATCATATTGGAGTGGGAGGAGGAGCTTCAAAGTCTCCTTGTCGGGGGCGGCTGTAGGGGACGACATTATCGGCGTCGGGGGGGACAGAGGACGCTGTGGGGGCGGAGGCGGCTGTGGTGGCCCTCCGCTAGTCGAACTTCGAGAGGAGCGAGTGCTCGAGCGGCCTCTCGGTGGAGTTGGCGGTGAAGGCGCCGAAGGAAGTTTGGTGGGGGGGTCACGTACGTTAGGGACTGCTGACGCAGAGGCGAGCGCTGTCGGCAAGGTGGGCCGAGCAGGATCCGCGGACTCGAACTCTGAGACTTCTTCTTCACTTGCACTCTCCTTAGGCTCAGGCTCTGGCGCAGGGTCTGGAGGGAGATCTCCTCGTGCTTGACTTGGACTGGCAACAACAGTTTGAGGAAGTCGGGAGCTGGGGGAGACAGGGCGAGAATACCGCAAGGCGGATCGAGATGCGAGGGTGCTGCGGGGGCCAAGGGGGTGTTGAGCCCATCTGATTGCCTTGTAACAAGGGTAATCCTCCTCAATCGATCGGGGTGTCCGATTTGGGCACGGCTGCTGCTCGCAACGGTAGAGGACAGTCTCAGGGCCGTCTGGGATGTAGACATCGATGAGATCCTGAGAGTCGAATGCATGGATCTGGCCTTGACAGGCAGCCACAATGGATGGGGAGAGGACAGGGAGGTGTGCATACTAAAAATGGCCGTACTACACTAGCTTACGCTACAGCGCCCGAGAAGACCCTGAGGTTCACAGTTCACGTGAGGCCCAGTACTGCTTTTGGCTAGTATGCAGCAGGAACCTAGACCACACGTCCATGAGGACAAACACCGCCCACTGAAGTGCAGGTGCTGAAGAGTTCGTTCCTCGAGGGGTGGCGATGTATGTAGGGCTATCTACGTATCGTATGTACCGTAGGGTATCGTAGTGGTGCGCACCACCCGACCTATGGGAAAGGAAGGTGAATGTAGAAGTCCCGTGAGGACGCCGGCAGCTTAGGGGAGTTTCGACCTAATGTCGCGACTTGAGGTCAAGTGACTGGAGAAAACCTAAAGGCTGGAGGCGTCCGACTAAGTCTTACCGAAGCGATGGTGAGCTACACTCAAACCTAAGGCTAGGGACAAGATAAGTTAGCATTGGTAAGTAGGTAAGTAATACATGAGCTTACTGACCTAGGGACAAGAGGTCGAAACTGAGGTCCCTAGGGCAGCAGAGGCAGGCTTATATACAGAGGAAGTTTAGGGGAGGCTGTGCGCGCTGGTCCGTGCACAGCTGGTCCGTGCACAGCATGCCGACGCGGCCCTGGGGGCCGGTGAGTCAGAGCGGCTGTGTCAGTTGAGCCCGAGCTGTGCCGTGCACTGCTGTCCTATCTAATCTAATCATACAGTAGATATGATGCGTCTGTATCAGGCATGTAGTACAGAGGTCATGGGTTCGAGCCCGCGAAAAGGAAAAAATTAAAAAACAGCTAGACGCCATACCAACTCGTGACACTCGGCATTGTTCCAGCGTGTCGTACTCACCTTCCTTGGCTAGATTATGGAAGATGTGCGACCATATCTTATTCGGGAAGAGTGACACCATGGTATGCAGAGCACTGTAGCGTGCCAGTCTTATCTGGTAAGATATCGATATGCTCCTAGAGCGCACTGTTTAACGAAGCTCACCAGAAGTGTCAATGGAAAGCTTTCAGTCCAATGAGACCTCACAAATCATAGATGGATGCACATCAGTCGAGGTGCGTGTACATTCGCTTCATGGAGGCCATATATATGGCTGAGGTTCGGGAACCCTTCTTTAGCAAGGCACAGCTTACCATGCATCACCTGCTGCTTCGATCCATGTCATTGACGTCGCTCAACACTCCAGGCCATACGAAGGTCTTCTGTTCATTGGGGCCATTAGTCAATCGATGTCTTGATGCTCATTGTTCATTAGTACCCTCAAGTTCATTGATATCCTCAACTGCCCCCAATATCTCCATCAGTGTCCCACCATGGCCCGGCTTATGCGACACATGACCATCTGCTCTGCACGCTTCCATGCCTTCCTGACCACCTGTAGTCTCAAGCTACTGCCTCCACCTCATCGGAGAACCTTATCGACATTCAAAACTGACATCTTTTGACACCTTTGCATGTCGGATGTACCACCGGAACTCGATCAGGAGCCCCAATGTATGGTTCAGCTGCTTAGTTGGACAGTGTTGTTCCGTATCCCGCTAGTCCCAGTGGTGGTCGGCCATGTAAGCTGCCAGGTAGCTTGTTGTAGCTACCACAAGTCGCGACCAGCCTATATCATATACGAGGCGGTGAACCTGAACCTTGAGAGCGTAGTGCATGTACCTCACATGGTGCGTCTTTTCCCGCTGCATTGCCCCTCGATACTTGCATGTTCTGAGCGAGGCTGAGCAACCGGGTACGTACAATGTGTGTGTGTATTCTACACACATTACAGACCAGGACATGGATGTCCTCGTCATATACCAGCAGCACTTCGCAGCAAGGCGTATCGCACAACGCTCTTGCAATCATCTTAGGTACGCACCTTCGTGTTGCTGCGCACACGCCTGGTTTCATAACCATTGCGCCAACGCCCTTCACCACTACTCATCACTGTTCCGCCGTAGGATATACCCCATGAGTAGTATTTGTACCTTTCATATTGTCATGTGCGCCTCAAAGTGCCGGCCAAGTCATTGCATCATGTCCACAACCTTTGGTTCTGACCGCAAAATTCCAATAATGCAGGTTATTACTGCATCCGTTGATTTATGAACCCTGCTGTCACGAGTTGGCATGGCACCTAGCCGTTTTTTAATTTTTTCCTTTTCGTGGGCTCGAACCCGTGACCTCTGTACTACATGCCTGATATGGACACATCACTATCTACTGTACGATTAGATTAAATGGGTGGCAGTATGTGGCACAGCTCGGGCTCCGCTGACACAGCCTCTCTGACTCACTGGCCCCCGGGGCCGCGTCAGCATGCTGCGCACGGACCAACTGCGCAAGGACCAGCGCGCACAGCCTCCCCTAAACTCCCCCTGTATATAAGCCTGCCTCTGCTGCCCTAGGGACCTCTGTTTTGACCTCTTGTCCCTAGGTCAGTAAGCCCCTGTACTTACTTATCTTTCAATAACTAACTAAACTTGTCCCTAGCCTTAGGTTTGAGCGTTGCTCACCATTGCTTCGGTAAGAATCAGTCGGACGCCCCCAGCCTTCAGGTTTTCCAGTCACTTGACCTCAAGTTGCAACACCTGCACTACGAAATGGCATGGCGACACCTCCAAGAGTTCTTATAGGAAAATAATGAGGCACATTATGGATAAGGATTGAGGAGAGCAAGTCGAGAATGAAGCGAGCTAGAAATGGTGTCAGTAAGAGAATACACAAGGAACAGAGCGAAGAAACTATTATGCACTCTCCATGAGCGACTACTCTGTTCGCGGGACGACGCGCTCCGAGCATAAAGGAGTGCAAATGTTCGCAGGCTACGGTTACAGGCTCGAGCTAGAGGAAGTCCCTGATACACTGCAGTATGCGTGCCCTCCATCTCTGTTTAAAGCTGAGCGTGCTTATTTAAGATCCCACTGAGGTCAATGTGTTTGATGAGACTGTCAAGGGCACAGACACCATCGAGCATACCGCCTCTCCAGTCCATCTCAAGGCAGACAAGGCAGACGAGATCATCTTCCCAGCGATATTCGGTGCTTCACGCATGATTGGGCCCGCATTTGCACATGGCAGCTCTGTCAAGTCTATTCATATCGATAAGGTTCTCTGATAAAGCGGCAGCGGTATCTGAGATCGAGACGGTGTATGTCTTCGGTGAGGCCATTGCTGCTTTTCCAAAAGCACTCTAGTAAGGCCAGCTGAGGCGGTAATTCAGGATATCGTTGAGCAACTGGGGAAATCCTGGATTGGCCAGCGTCAGCGATGAACAGAAGACGCTCAAAGAAGGTTTGGAGGGTTGAGCAACGTGAGCAACACGTGGCATTCAGCAGATGCATGGAAGCTATGTCATGCTAAGGTTTGACATATTCAGCAAATGTATATCAACTAGCTGTACGCACCTCGTCTCGACTGCGGCTCGTCAAATCATGGCAGACTGAAGACCTTCCTTGGTACTGCGACATTCCGGTGAGCTCTGTGAGATAGCGTAATCGCGATGCATGTAGACATCTCTATAGACAGAATTACTGACACATTGTGAAGATCTCCATGCCATGGTGTCGCCGTTCCCAAATGAGATATGGTTGGACATCTTCCATGGTCTGGCCAAGGAAGGCGAGTACGACACATTGGAACGATGCAGGGTGGCGTGCAAGGGGTTTGAGCCAATTGTCACGAGTTGGCACGGCGTCTAGCCGTTTTTTAATTTTTTCCTTTTCGCGGGCTCGAACCCGCGACCTCTGTACTACCTGCCTGATATGGACGCGTTGTTATCTACTGTACGATTAGATTAGATAGGACGGCAGTGCACGGCACAGCTCGGGCCCCGCTGACGCAGCCGCTCTGACTCACCGGCCCCCGGGGCCGCGTCGGCATGCTGCGCACAGACCAGCTGCGCACGGACCAACGCGCACAGCCTGCCCTAATCTCCCCATGTATATAAGCCGGCCTCTGCTGCCCTAGGGACCTCAGTTTCGACCTCTTGTCCCTAGGTCAGTAAGCCCTCCTTTGTATTCTTTCTTACTTTACTAACTAATACATTTTCTTGTCCCTAGCCTTAGGTTTGAGCCTCGCTCACCATCGCTTCGGTGAGAACCAGTCGGACGCCCCTTGCTTTTAGGTATTCCCCTGTCGCTTGACCTCAAGTCGCGACATTAGGTCGAAACTCCCCAAGCAACCGGCGTTCTCTCTCGGAACCCACACACTC